TGTCTTAAACTTGCTGAAGAAAAATACAGTGCTATATATTCTTCTAGCTATTGAACAAAGTTGACAGTTGCAAGTTGAGTTTGGGGAACAAGTTCATATGTACATTTGTAGTAATGTCTAATTTGCTGTTTTATTACTGGAAAAGGAATGGTTTTGTTGATTGTGGGGAGAGTAGGGGATGAACTGAGCAGATAATTTGAAAGATTGCTTTGTATCATGATTGATGCATATTAATTAACTAAAGAATTTACAGTCAGAATAATGGAAATGAACACATCTGCATAAATAGTCTGTATAAATTGTGTATTTACCTAATTGTCTCTCTGCTAGTACAAGATATGCAGCAATGACCATGGCATTTGACATTGATTCAAATGGTATTATCACCATTAACCCTTTCTTTGCATTGTGTACTGGGTGAAATAACAGTGACTTCCACTGGAAATGTGCAGTGTTCCTGCATGCTGTCTGTGCCCCAATTGTACCTCCTCTAGGTGCTCTCTAGTAGCATGAGCCAGACATGCTTTGCACTGCTAAAAGCCCTCTAGTAAATTTTCTGCCATAGTGGCTTCCATGTCAGTATTTTTGTTGGTGCAGATCTGAAGTCAGTTTGGTTGTGCAAGTTTCCATTATACATAATTAACAAAGTATTGCAGCCCTCACACTCTCACAGTGCGCGTATCTTACGTTGACTTTATTGAGAACCTTTATACTGAAGTGCTGAAATGTTCCCTTCTGCACATATTCAAGATTATAATGGTAAACTTATGATTATAATGGTTAACTTCAGAGTTGTAAACATTTCTGTACTGTACTTTAGCCTATAAGCTCTCAAAAGCAACACAGCTAAAACAGTTAAATTCTCTACTATATTTTTCCCCAGGCAAATGCAGTCCTGGTCATTATGCTGATGTTTCTATACAGAGAGCTTTTAAAGAGGACAGATACTTACAGCTTCTGCAGGTACTTTGTAATCACAATCTTGCCACAGTTTATTTTCTTCAGCGGCACAAGTGGTTTCATGTATTCGATATTTCATATAGAATTGTGTGTCAGGACCTGCCTGCATAAAAACAATATGCCTGTCGACATTTGCATAGTAATAAATCAAGTGAAAAGATAAGAGCTTCAAAAGGTAAATACTCTCCATTGGTTACCTTATATTTTATAGTATGGTTTCACATTAGCTGGTGGCCTCCATGCAAGGTCTCCCAAATCTTGGTAGTTCAATAATTAACTTATCTAATTATATTACTGAGGCCTTACCTACAATTACAATAAGTTGATACAATAGATATGGTATGCTCAACTACTTTCATTTTAACTGGTAGTACCAAGGGTTTTAAAACCAGAAAGAAGTGGTTAGGTTTTATACTCATATTCAAATGTACTCCAAATAAGCAAATTTGGGTTGCTGCTTCAATGGTTAGCATAATTACCAGCTTGGACTGTGCTCCTGTCTGACTCCCTCACTCTCACTCTTGGCCTCCTCCCAGATCTGTCTACTTCCCTTCTGTACAACTCTACAGGCAGCCCAGAAACAGCAGCCAGCAACCCTCAGGCAGCCTGGCAGTGCCCAAACTGCCTTTACTCTGGGGTAACAGGGTACTTAACTGCCCTGCCTACTCAGAAGAAAGGGGCAAGGAAGGCATATGCTCTGGAGACAGCCTGTGGTGGTGCCTGCAGTTTTCCTACAGGCATTAAAGGCAGAACTGCTCATGAGGGTAGTTTCAGGAATCCCGTAAGATGAAATACAGACAAAGTATTAAGCAAAGTTTGGCCTGGCTAGTGAAAGTGTTTCTGATGCTGGTAAATCAGAAGGGGTCATTTTCTCCTTGCCATAAACTGAGTAGTAAGCCTGTGCCTACAGGTAACATCAACACACTGCAAGGTTTGTGGTTCATCCTTTATAGGAGATATAAAGCCAGAAGTTACTAATCTTTTACAGCCACTAAAAATGCTCAGCCAATATGCCTTTTCAAATACAAACACAGGCAGTTGCTGCACTTTAACACTGGTTATCCTCAAATGATACTGCTGGGAGAATTAAATGATAATTCTTGCCTTAGTGGTATCAAGAAAGAGAAGCTGAGCTGATGTGGGTGGAATATACTGGGTTTACACTGGTGTAGACACAGAATTATATTCTGTTGTCTCAATTCTTGTTATATACTGCTACAACTACAAAGAGGTATAGAGGTACCCAACATAATGGTTGCAGGTTGTAAAATGGGATGAAAGGGTCTCAAAAAAAATATAATGGACTTAATCCTCAGCAGGTATAAATTGACATTTATGGAGCTGCATCAGATTATACTATCTGTGATGTGGACTTAAAAGGAGCCGAATTCTGTTCTCTGTTACAGTGTTTTAAATCTGCAATAAATCAGCTCAGTGAATAAACAAAATAAGTGAGAAAAGACATTGTTTCTGAATATTATTTGTTGTTGGTTTATTTCATTATTATTATGAACAGCTATGCCTTTAACTGGGGCAGGTTCAGTCTTTCAGCAGCCAGCTTTTATGTTTTATTACCTTATCAATAATGAATGTACATGAATATGTAATAACCAGCTATTTAATTAATGCATTCAACATTGTGAGACTAGTGATGAGTAAAATCTATATGCTTTTTAGAAAAAGAATATCGAATATGAGGCAATCTCTATTGCAGATTCCTTTTCTCTGTTTTTTACTTAACATTATAGTCAGATCAATGATTCAAAGTGATAATTGATTCCCACCTCACATCTTTTAAGAAAAGGAAAGATGGATATCTAGGGAAGGAAAGATGAATAAAAATTGCAATAAATATGTATTTGTAAAAATAGAACATTGTTTAAGATAAAATACTGAAACTAATATCTGTCCTTTGGTAACATCAGCAAAAGGAAAGTGGTGTTACAGCTCTGATATAAGGTTGTTTGCATTTGGCTATTGTTAAGGATGTGTGTAGTTCAGTGAAGACAGTGGGACTATTCATTTGTTTAATATTAATTGTATAAAGGGTTTGCCAGATTTTAGTCTTTGTCACTACATGCTGAAATCTCCCCAGTTTGAAAACAGGAAACCCAGAGGGTAGGTGCCAGCAGATGTGGGTAGTTTACTGTAAGGCTTTTAGCAACTGATATATCCTTTCTGTGGTCAATTTCTATCTGGGTAAAAGTGTCTTGTTATTTTGGAGTGCAAAATATTCTCTCTGACACTGGGTTTCTTGTGTTTTACATCTGAAAATCCAATCCAGTAGAAAAAAATGCTAATGTTGTTTTCAAGTAAAGTAATGGTTGTCATTATTATGGTAATATCATCTTTGTATGCCTCTCAGAGGTAAATACTCTTTTGTTAGATTAATGCTATACAGAAGGACTCCAGGCAAAGGATCATGTTTCATTCTTTTTTTCTGTAATTTTAGCTGTCACCCTATTTGACTAAAATACCACCTAGTGCTTTTAGATAGATCTGTGACTCAGGACTAGCGTCAATCAAATAATATTCACAAACAATTTATTCAGAGTATTGCCAAATTTTATCAGGTCATTCTTTTTTATGTGTGATACCAGCTCTTCCCAAGTCAAGATAATATTCAGATTTTTTAGTAATTGTGGTTTTGTCATTGATCTGAAAACCTTACTGATGATGGAAGAGGGTAGAATTCCCAACACAGAAAGGAGAAAACGGAATGGACTAGTAAGACAAGTTGTATTAGTGATAGAAATTTTCTATTCTTTAGTCCTTGCATTAACAAGCAATTCACCAGCACACACAGTTCCGTTGATAAGAACATAATATACATCCCTGCTTGTCATGGTAATGAGTATCTTACTGTGCAAGTCATTTCTTGGATTTTTTAAAAGATTTTTGGAAGACACTTTGCTGTCATACTTGCTTTCTTATGAACAAGATGAAGATAATCTGATTCAGAGTGCATAAACAATTCCAACATTTTTTTTTTTTGTAAAGTCTACTTACAGTTCTCTTGGCTTCCATCACCATGTATAGAGCAAATTGATTACCAGTTGCTCTGTCTCCATTGTATTTCTTCAGTGCTGTGTCAACAGCTTTAAAGACATCAGGGTCATCACAGTCCAAAAACTCAAATGGAAGAGGGGTAGCTCTGCTAGAGAAAAAACTACAGCAGAGTGCTAGTACAATGAAAGGTTTCATAATTGGACAAAAAAAGGCCCCCTGAATTAGAAGGCTTTTTAAAAACCAAATGGAAAAGGAATGTCTGACAGCATTTTAGCTGTTTTTCAGGAGCAATAGCTAAGTAAACAGAAAGAGTGGGTTACTGGGGTTGGTTGGTTCTTATCATACCCTGTTAATACTGCAAATAAACATCTGAGTTTATGTAAATAAACTTTGTGTGGTCACCAGAATGACACTAAGGTTATCCACCTGCCATCAAGATAACAGGCTAAATGGCTGCAGCTGGGGACAGGTTTAGACTAATAAGGATGGCCCCTGAGCAAAAGAGCAGAATGTTCGTAGCTTTCTGGCTTCTTTTCTTAACATCTAAACTGCTACTGAGAATAAATTTTAGAAGGCTTAAATAAAACACCCAAGAAGGTCACAGTGGCAATGAAATTCTGATTCTGGACAACCACCCTGTAAATTTTATAGATCTGTTCAGTGTTCAGATTGCAATAGTTCTGAGAAGTCAGAACATGTTTGCAAAAAGTCTTTGGCACTCATAATTATGAATGATGAGAAAATGAAAGATTTTAGATGGTAGTTTTCACTGTTAGGGAATTTTCCTTTTTGTCAGAACTAAAGGAGCATTGTTTGCTGGGGAGATTTGTACCCATTCACATTATCTGAGGGACTCAGAATTTTCAGCCTTTCAGTTACACTGGAGTCAGAGATAGCTGGGATCAGGAGGCAGGTTGGAATACTTGTCTTAATCATTATTTTCAGTGCTTCTCCTCCCTAGAAATATGCTTTTTCCCCTTCTCCACATACTGTTCTCATTCATTGTACAACTGTCATTGGCCCTGCAACTCTCAAGCCAGGAACATCTTTCTCTGAGGTAATGTAGGAGGATTTTCTGCCATGGAGCTATGTGGAAATAAAGGCAAACTTTTTGGAAGAACAAGTGTGGGGTTTCCTGGGCATGCCTTTGATTATTTAGTGTGATCTGGAAAACCAGGAGCTTCTGGTATCTGCTTTAGACTTGAGCCAGTGAAGGGAATACCTTCACCAGTGCTGGAGGAGTGAGGGTTGCTCTGGGATAGCTCAGGAAAATTTGCAGTGGGAGGTGTGAGAGAATCTGGCTGATTTAGAGCTGGAATGTGATAGACAGCTCCTGTTATTTGGGATGGAAAGTACTTTCCAGATATGCTTGTCTTGTTGTGGTGATGTCTGTAATAGTGATGATAGAGATGAGGAGGGTGTCCTGGAGGAGGAGCATGATGTCACCCACAGTGGGGAGGAGGATGGTGGCGATGTCATCTGTGAAGAGGGGGAGAAGGCCAGTGTGGTCTACGATGGGGAGGAGGGTGGGTGATGTGGTCCATGGGGAGGGGGAGGACAGTGTGGTCCATGATGGGGACCACGAGGAGGATTATATCGTCCATCATGGGGGGGCGGAGAAGAAGGAAGATAATGTAATTCCTCTTGGGAAGGAGGAGGATGATGTGGTGCATCATGGGAAGGAGGAGCAGAAGGGGGATGTTGTGGTTCCGCTTGGGGAAGAGGATGTGGTCCATCATGGGGAGGAGGAGGAAGGTGGTGATGTGGTCCACCGTGGTGGGGAGGAGGAGGAGAAGGTCCTTCATGTCTGTCTTGATGTTCTTCATTGAAACTATGGTTATGCTCAGGGTCTTTAGGTCTGGATTGAGAAGAGGGTGAACATCTGTACCTGTGATGATGTCTGTGACGATGTCCGTGACCAAAATGTTGATGGGGATGGGGATGTCTGTGTGTTTATCCCAGAGTTGAATATCTGCATCTTTGCCCATAGTCATGCTGCTGTTTATAAAAACACCAGGGGAGGAAGTATTAAGTGAGATGTTAATAGGACAGAAGAAAGTGCTGAGAAAGAGAGAGAGGTGTGACTTAGTAGGTTTGCATTTACAGTTCTGGTGATCTGTAAGGAAAAAAAATCCTGTGGTTTTTTCAAGATAGAAGAGAAGGATTAAGTGATAAAATGCCAAATTACTGAAAATCATCTGGAAATACTACACCATAACAAAATGAAACGCTATAACCAACTGAGCAAAATTTATGATGGATCAAAACAAAATAAAACCCACACTGGAGTAGCCGTTGTAATGTAAACTGCAATACCAATTATGATAAAGATCATCTGCCCTCCTCTTGCTTTCTAAAATTCCTTTGAACTTGTTTGCCAATCTCTACTCGCTTTAACGAGAAGTATGATTGGACTGAGAGAAGACACCCTTGGAGGGAGTAGTAGGGACAGCTCAATTCCAATTCATCCTCTGATTGACCTAGCAGTCAAAAGCCAGTCTGTCCTGACATGCTGCATCACACCCAGGCACTAATAAAGGGGCATAAACAACCGTTGCAATCATCTGTGAGTCTGGACTAAGTGAGGTTGCTGTAGCCTGCATGAAGATATAGCCAGAGACATTTCAGTAAGGACATACTCGGAGATGGTAGATTTCACAGCTTGTATCTGTTCCATCAGGTTCATCTGGATCACTGATAATTCTTGCCTTGCAGAAGCCCACATGCTAAGCAAAAGAAAAGAAAAAAAAAAGCCAATGCACATCTGGGTTCTTGAGGTGGAGTTAATAGAAGCTACTTGTCGTGGTTTAACCCCAGCCAGCAACTAAGCACCACGCAGCCGCTCACTCACTCCCCTCCCATCCAGTGGGATGGGGGAGAAAATCAGGAAAAGAAGTAAAACTCCTGGGTTGAGATAAGAACGGTTTAATAGAACAGAAAAGAAGAAACTAATAATGATAATGATAACACTAATAAAATGACAACAGTAGTAATAAAAGGACTGAAATGTACAAATGATGCGCAGGGCAATTGCTCACCACCCGCCGACTGACACCCAACCAGTCCCCGAGCGGCGATTCCCTGCCCCCCCACCTCCCAGTCCCTAAACTAGCTGGGACGTCCCATGGTATGGAATACACTGTTGGCCAGTTTGGGTCAGGTGCCCTGGCTGGGCATGAGAAGCTGAAAAATCCTTGACTCTAGTCTAAACACTACTGAGCAACAACTGAAAACATCAGTGTTATCAACATTCTTCACATACTGCACTCAAAACATAGCACTGTACCAGCTACTAGGAAGACAGTTAACTACATCCCAGCTGAAACCAGGACACTACTGAAAGCTGAACATTTTAAAAGTTAGGCTAGTTCCTTTGATACCTAAGTATGTTTATATAACTTAGCCAAATCCTGAGCTTTTTGACCAGTGATACTTGCCAGTGATTAATAATGATTAAAATATATGCCATTTTTGAGTGTTCTTGACTGTGAAGACCACTTTGCCATGTGCATCTAGAGGGCTATTACTCTCCACCTTACTTCTCTTTTGATGTCTAAGAAATTAGCCAGCTACTCATGTCTCCAAATTGAGTACTCTGTCCGTGACTGATTTTTACTCCTTTTTTTCTGTCTTTGCTTGTCAAACATCTGTTCAGAATGGGCTATTCTGAAATTTTGCTCAAAGTCCTCAAAAACAGTCACTGTGTAGCTATGCTGTTTCACACAAAGCTCAAGGTAGAGCTTTCTTCCATATTTATTTTTTGAAAAGTAATTTGTTGTAATCTTTTAGCATTACTTACCTTAGCATCCTGTTTGCTGTGACTTTCACCTGCTGTACAGTCATTGTGTGTGGAATTGCTCATGTGAAAGAGCACAGAACTTGGGTAAGGGGTTCTGTGTATAATCTCTGTAGTGGACGCTTTATCTTTGATATATGTTTGGGCCATTAGTAGCCTACTATGATCAATGATTACAAATGTTAACAGCATTTTACACACACACACCAGTGGTGGCAGCATTGAGAACAGAATTCAAAACCTCCAGCTATCTGGCTTGTGCTTCATTCTAGTGAACTTTTGGCTCCGCTACCAGTCCATTCACAACCTTTTCTAGTCTTCTGGAGTATAAAAAGTCAGAGAAGAAAATGGATGTAGATAAAACAAAAGTTCCACATGTTTTATTTTTTCCATATTTTTATTTCATTCCTTCAATTTCATTTCTGGGGAATAATTTATTCTGAAATAATGATCTTGCCTAGTTGTTTCTTTGGTGTAGAATATTATTGTAATGGGAAGGTGGGGTAAAGCGAGTACTTTGATAGTAATCTGCAGATAAGCCTGAATTATTCCACTCTCCATTCCCCTGTGGCAGAGGAAAAAAAAAGTAACCCTGGGCTCACTGGGATGACATAATACATGTATTATTTTCAAGATCTATGACTCATGTTAGTGTAAAAGCTTTTATGAAAATAGCATGAATATTTACTAAGGAATGGCCACAATTTGAATGTGAAAGCCAGATCCAGACTGAAAAGCTCAGATTTAGGTCTGTAATATGCCAGTCTCCCATTACATTTAGATTTGAGAGTTCAGACTGGCTCCTTATAGAATAAAAAGCAGCAGCTGTAAAATTAGGATCTGGATTTGGGCATGCTGGATTTTTAATTTTGAGTTTGGGTGCATGCTTATAAGAGACACTTGGAAATATTGTGGGAAGATCTTCCTGGTGCCACCCATTGTATCAGTTCTTATTCTAAGATTTATTTACAGCATGCCAGTCATCCAGAAAATCACATTCCAATGCCTGATTTGCTTGTTGTGTGGATTTGGAACAGTTGGTCTCTTTTATAGAGAATCCTAAAATGTGACCTTCACAGGAGGCAGTCTGAAACCAAGAGGTCAAACAAGAAGTGGTAACTAGGTGTATTTAAAGTCCTGTACTTTTAAAAGCAATCATACTTAATATTGTTGTCAAAATCCTGTCTACCTCATGGTTTCATTATCTGTGCTGTTCAAATGTTCATACATATACATGTATTCAGTAAGGAAGATAGATTAGATAATTTATATCTTACTTGCCTCACACCTTTGTGAGTTCCAGGAACGATTGCTTTATTTCTTTGTCTAGTCTGTGTATGTTATAAAACCTGTTACTTTCACAGCCTGTGTTTTCAGGAAGTAGCATCGTTGGTCTTCTTCCTAAATTGAACTGCTCCTCCCGTGAAAATGTAGAGATTTACTGGATGGCAACCACCCTTTTCCAGTAATGGGAGTGCATAGTACTACAGTGCAAATGTTAATATTGGAATGAAAATCTGCCAGTAACTGTGAGATTGTTGCTTTCTCTGTTGTCAGTGGCATTATTCACAGAGAAGGCATTACTCCATAACAAAATGGGAGAAGGCCTTTGTGATCCTATTAACATCCATAAAGAGGTGTTTCATTTTAATTTCCAACTGTAGTAGTATGTATGTGCACACAAGTTTCACTAGTTTAACTAAACTGGTTAAAAATGGATGCACATACTTTGTGATATATTTTTTTAATCATAATTCATAGTTTCCAAGTGTTATGCAGTCCGTTGAAATCCAGTGGTACAATCTAAATTGTCACTGTCGCTAAAGATGGCAAAGTGTGAAGACAAAGCATTTAGGAAGAAATCCACGAATCCAGGCAATCTGAAAACAGCCTCTTGCTAAATGGGAGTAGGGATGCATACTGCATAGCACTACAGTGTAGAACACTGTCAAGTTTCTGAGCAATATTAAAAGCTGCAGGGAGGTGGGGTTGGCATACTATAATTTAAGCAGATTCCAAGATCAACGTGTATTATGGTAGGGACCATGGAACCTCATTACAGAGGTGTCCTGAAATGGCACGTGTTGGCAGAATGATCCTGTGTTGTTTAAGTGAACATCTCCAGTATCTACCAACAAGAAATTGTGGTGATGTGAGTGTTATACTTTAAATCACCTAAAGGATAGTCTTCACGTTGACATCACTCAAAGGTGGAGGAATTATTTGCCAGAGCCAGTAGTTCTCCAAGAGGTACAGCACAGATACAAATTTACCTCCTGTCCTTCAGTGCTCTCAGAGTCCTGCTTTGCTCTGCAGCAGAAAGTCAAAATGATTCTGAGTGTGTTCCACTTTGTGTTGTACCCATGTGCTAAATATTCTAAGAGTAAATTATCTGACTTCAGTTGACAGAATGTATGACTGTGATAATACACATGACTACATCTTGAAGAACTCTGGTCAGTAGTAAATAAACTCTTGTATGTTATGATATGATAGGTAAATAGGCATTCAAAATAAAAATATACACACAAAGAAGGCTCTGACATTTTGGATGCCATCACACTGCCATAGTTTTTAGCAGATGAGAAATCCTTTTGCTTTCATGTGCCTAAATTAAAGTTGATAACAAGTCTTTGCAGAAGCAGAACCTTCAACTTTAAGCAAATGATTTATGCTGAGAGGTGACAAGCAATAGTTCTGATCGTAGAAGGGTTTGAGTTCTGGTCCCATGGTTTTGGAGCTGCTCACAAAATTTTGTTGTTTATAAGTAATTCTAGGACAAAATGTCACTTACCATCTTTAAAATCTTTTCAACTTTGTCCACGTTGAAGTAGTTTGTGTGTTACTCTCACCATTGAATTTCTCCAGGGCCTTTTCAGCAATATTTTTATGTTGCTTGGTGACATCTAAGACTTCAACTTTCACAGGACAATCTTTGCACTCTAATAAATCAGGAGGAACTGTGAAAACAGAGAATTTGCTAATATTGCAATGGATATTAATACTCTTGGGAGTGTGCATGTGCCTTTAATGTGAACTCATAATGAGAAACTGAAATGCAAGTGTTTCCTTGGAAGTGAAACACTGCACAAATATGGGTTTGTCCTGTAACATGAAAAAAACCCAAACCTGTGAAAATTAATATTCTTATAAATCTTTTAGCTCCACCTTAGAATCTTACCACCCAAATGGACATTCTTTCCAAGTTTACTTTTTTTCTGATATTCATTATCATGTTTTGGTGGACTGGAATGGTGATATCATCTGACATTAATAAAGTCTGCTTTAGAAGAGTAGGGTAACCTTAATTCTATTACTGCTTCTTAACATTCCATTTGAATTATCTAAAATACGAATTGCAAGCAGATGAATGAATCTGTTACGGTTACCATACACTAGTGGTGCACAGACTTGTAATTTGGTACTAGGGCTGGTTTGAGGTATGCATTGGTTTACAACAGTGATTATTTTACCTGGACTTAATGTACAATTAAATCCATACAGCTTAGATTTCTTCAGCAGCTGGCTTGTATATGTGATAATCTTACATTGCCCAAAGTCCTGAGAGGAAAAAAGAATACGTGATTATGATGTTATTTTCACTGGATTTAATTGGATGTAGGTGATCATAGAAATTATACCTCCTCTTAATGTACAGTACTTCCAAGAGTAACAGATGTGGTCATCAATGGAATGTTTGATCCTGTACCACTCAGAATTTGTGTTCAGATAAAATGGGATCTCCCTCTACAAGAGCCTTTATTTTAATTCTCAGTTTGCACAACTGAGTAGACAATGGAAAACTAAACCAGCCTTCTCAGTCATTCTAATACTTATTTACAGTAAGATACTACTAGCTAGCAGGGGAAGTGAGGATGCCAGAGATACTCAAGGTTACATAAATCTTTATCAAAAAGTGGATGGACCTTTTCTTCCGTTCCTTTTTCCCATCTTAACACAAAGAGTAAATGCTCTTCTCTTCTCTTCTCTTCTCTTCTCTTCTCTTCTCTTCTCTTCTCTTCTCTTCTCTTCTCCTCTCCTCTCCTCTCCTCTCCTCATGGCCTTCCTCCTTTGTCCTGTGTGGTAGTATCACCACTCTCCTATTTAAATAAAGTCTTGGATTGGTAGTTCTCATCCCAGGCTGCATCACTGGACTACAACAATAAAGGACAAGTATTACTACATATCATATATGTACTGACACTACCAATATTTCACATTGTCATACCACAAACACTATGACAGAAAACTGACAGAATATAGCACTGGTATTTCTGGCTAATATACTAGGAACATGCTTTAAAAAATAATTTTTAGGGCCCTTTAGTTGTCAGCAAATTATTCTTAAAACATCAGTACTGCTACCAGCAGTGGAATGTGAAGTATAGCTCCTTTGAGACAACTAGTTAAATAAAGCTGCACTTATTTGAGGAGTCAACCCTTTTCCAAACCTTTCACTTATGTTTAACAACTCTAGAATTCAATAGATTTTATTTTATTTTATAGTGAGCCATATTAAAGCCTAGTCTTCACTTAGAGATTCTATGACACAGAAATTTCTGGGAAGTTCAGATGAAGATCAAGTTACTGCATTATTGACATAGGACTCTGTGTGGGTGCATTACTTGCCATGCAATAGGTGTCACTGTATTCACGAGACTCCCAGTGTCTTCTGGATAATACAGAGCATTCAGTGTGCAGCACATCCAAAGTTAAATAGAGGACTGATGAATTTCCCTGGAAGAGAAGTGCAGGTCAAGAAGAGTTTGTATACAAGAAGTTTGATCTGAAAGAATTTTTGTTTAAGTAGGTATGTTTAATCTATAATGTAGCTTCCCCAGTTCCCTGTTAAGGTTTTTCTGAGCTGACAAATATAGAAAGAGTTGAAGGGACCTTTGGAGGTCATCTTGTCCAGCCACTGGCTCAAAGCTAACTTCAAAGTTAGATTCAGCTGAGTTCTGTATATCACCAAGACAGATGTTCCACAACCTCTCTGGGCCATTCTGGTACTTAACCACTTTCTCTATGATGTTTTTTTTGGCCTTACACGTAGTCAGAGTCTCCCTTCCTGCAACTTACAGCTGTTGCCTCTTATCGTTTTGCTGAGAACCTGTGAGAAGAGTCTGTTGTTGACCTGGCACCCATCAAGTAGGGAAAATGCCAGTGTTAAAAATCTGCCATTCCACCTTTCTGATTTTCACCAGAACATACTGGTCTATTAGGAAATCAGTTGTCTAGGCAGCCAATTATATAGCAACATCCATTTCAAATGCCCTTAGTGACCAGATAGATACACTTTCAGAATTTTGCTTCCTGCTCAGTTTATTCAGGGGGTGATGCCACAAAGCTGTAATAATCCGTACAAAGTCAGGAGCCTTAACTCTGAAATTCTTCTAGTATGTTCTGTCTCCTGACCAAATAGGATGGAGAATCAGAATTTGAATTTGGTTGCCAGTGTCATGGGATGTGGTGTTAAGAATTATCTGTGGCCCACAGAAACAATTTTGTATTTTTCTGCAGGAAAATGAATCTCAATTCACACTTGGAATGGATTATTTAAACTTCATGCAACCCTTGTATGGACATTCAGAATGAACACAGATGTATTTTATTTTGTCATTTAGATAAAATGATACAAAGCCTTTCACTGTGAATAAGTGTCCTCAGGTTTTATGAAATTTCATCCATTCAGATGCCTTTTTCAGAATGTTCCTGTACAGACAAGACCTTGAAAAAAGAATTACTGCAGTCTAGTGTGATATTTTTATTAGTGAGAGTCCACCAGTGTCATGTTAAACACTAGTTTTGCAGTATGCATATGTCTTAGCTTTGTCTCTATTTTTGAGATAGGGGCTAGGTGATTTACACAAAGACACATGTTATTCAATGGCAGAATCAAGAAAAGAATATAGTTCTTGGGGACACCCGTCCTGCCCACTAGCCACATGATTATTCTCTGCTTGGGGGTAGTTAGTATTTCTATTTTATTTTATAAAACCCAATGATTTCAAGCTGCTAGTCAACATATTAGTAAAATGCAGACAGAGAAGAGAACAGAGACAGTGAGAAAGACTATTTTTTTCTGATTTGTATTTATGGAATTGCACTGAATGGAAAGGTAAGACAGGTAAGATAGGCTTTTGTAAAATGTGCTATTCACTAGGAGCCCTCTAAAACTGAAGTGACTGAATACATTCACTTTGTCATCCAAACTTATGAAATGCTAAAGAAGCCAATTCATCCCTGGCAAATATTTATTTTCTTCGGCAGGATGCATTTGGATTCAATAACAGCTAAAGCAGAGCTTGGGTGAAATTAAGTGTCTACATCTAAATATGCAGTAGAAAATTCCTCTGTTCATCTGCTGGATAGCTCTTGGGAAAAAAAATTATCTTATATGGTGCCTTCTTGGTTGTTTTAAAAGCATCTTGGGCACCAGAGTTCTGCACTGCACAAGCTCAGAACTGTTCTAGTGTGAATACTTGAGTATCTCATGCTTCTAGAACTCCCACGTAAATCCAGTAGAGAGCTGGCTGCTAGGAATTGCTCTGCTAAAGTTTCTAAGGGGGCTGATGTGATATACTTGATGCACACTGTTGCATGGAGATAATCAAAATAATGTTCTGGTCTCTTTTTTTATATATATATTTATTTTTTTTAATGTCATCATGGCAGTGGAGCCAACGTAACTTCTTGCACAATAGTGTACATGACAGCATGCAGGACACCACACCTGACGGCTTTGGGTCTGAGAAGGTACAGAGACCTTACAGGGAGAATTCTTTAGCAGTAAGATAGATTAGAAGGGTCTTTTCTGCTCTTGTAGACTCTATGTGATAGCTGAAGCTGTGGCCCTGGACTGCAAAGACAGCAAAACTCCTTAAGGGTACAAAAAAACCATAAGCATGGTACTCTAGTGGTTATAGCATTCATCTGGAAGTGTGAATCCTCAGCTCTGGTCCCTATTCCAAGTTATGGTTCTATAGTTTATATAGTCAATAATTGGTTAAAATGCAGAAACACTGAGATTTTTTCTCTTTAGAAACGACTGTGGTTTTTCCCATTCATGCAATGAATTTTGCATGTCTTACTGCCCAGTGGCTCCACTTAACAAGGGTGGCACACACATAGCTGCATGGCAGCAGCATTCTACAAGGACAGGAGACTTCAGGGTTTAAATCTCTTAATGCTGAAGAAGACTGATTGCTTCCTAGATGAGCTCATTAACTACCTGGCTATTGTGTAAAACCCAATAGTGTCATTTGCCACATCCTTGTCTTTGAAAAGCAGAATAATCCATCAGGTTTTTTGAACGTATAGCTGAAGACCTGCAGGAATCTGGGCTTTGGGTCACTTTCTGAGCTTTTGCTTGTCCTAACAGGCAGTCTTCAGTAGCTCCATCAAAAACTAGCCTGTTTTTTCAGTTGCCATACTGAGATGTGTAATACACTTCTTAAACAGTGCATGTGTGCCTGGATTCTACTTTCATAGCCAAGAAGCTAAAAGGTAGCCAGGTGCTAAATCTGCATATCCTGGTCTTTTTTATCTACTAGTTAAAGAAATTTTGTATTCTGTTGTTTTTTCTGCTATTGATTTGCTTTGGCACTTAGGCAGTCATTGAGAAAGGCTTGTGTATCCTCTCTAGGAAGGAGAAATAGGAAATGACTGATAATGGATTCTCTATCCAGCCCTTCCTCTGTTTTCCAGAGTGGCATTTTCATCTCCTTTGGCTTCCTCTGCCTTTTTCCCTTCCCTCCAGTTACTCAGCTATCTCTAAAATTAAGATAATAACAAAATACTGGTCTTGCAGGAAATATTGATCTATTTAATGTTAAACATTGCAGATTAAAGAAACCCTCCGAATATAAATTTTGAACACAACATCTGAGACCTGACAACAGACAGGACAGATTAATTTCCAGTGTTGTACAAAGCTGTTCAGAACATCTTTTACACCAACATCCTGTCGGCCAAGAGAATAGAGGGCATTCAGCATCATTCAAAATCAAGCTTAGGTACAATAAATTATGCACAAATGAATATTGAGATAGTGTAAATCAGAGCTGATTCATTGAATTATGTCAACATTGCTCTGTTAAAAGCAATAAACATAACCTTTTAATGATCTGGCCCATTATTTTAAAATCACAGCCTTGTGTAAATCAGCCTTTAAATTGATACTTACTAGATGTAGTTTGTGTGCATCAGCAACACGGAATAAACCAAACCCATAGCCATCTCTGCGATGTCTGTTGACCAAATCCAGGGCCAGTCCTGCATCTGTTTCAATGGTTTTACAGTCTGCAGGTGTAATGCTTGGTTTTGGGGGGCATTAGAGCACTGCAGTAGTGTTAGGAAAAAAGCTGAAGCTAGAAGCAGCATTTTGTTTGCGGTGTTAGGTCATTTCTGCCCATGCTCTGATAAAGCCAGTAGTCTGCTTTTAAATCAGAGTAGCCCACTGAAGTTATAAATGAATGCTAAAAGGACATGGTTGTATATAAATTTAAGTGTTGTGTCAGAAGACCATTACCTTGACCCTTGATTAACATTTGCAAACAGCGAGTAAATGATTATATAGTGATTGAGCAGATTTTGAGGAAAGTAGCATTGTAATACTCTCTGGACTACCCATCAAACAGACTATGTTTGTGATTCTTTAAGCAGGCATTTTGCAATAGTGTTTTACTATGAAAAATACTTAGCTTCTAATAGTGTGCTGCTGAGCCTGGCATTAAGAAGGTCCAGTTTATGTATGCAGGTATTATGCAATCTTGGTTTTCTGTTTACTGTAAAACAGTTGAACTGAAAATATGCTGAAATATTTGTGGTCAAATGATGGCTGTATTCATATCCCTGTTTTAACAGATCCTTACCTAGCAGAGAAGTAGTGAACAGGAAACAAGGAGATCACTCAGATTTGGAAAAGGATGTAGCTCAAGGTACACTTGCAAGCTGGTGGTCTGTAGCTTCTATGTGAGTGCCTGCTACTCTTCCAGCTTGAGAAAATGTAGAGCAAACTTCTATCAGCTTTATATCATTTCAGACTGGTACACAGAATGGGACTGCCTGGCTTAATACTGATGTAATCTAGGCATGGCATGAAGTGACATAAAGCTGTGTTTGCATTCTCAGTCTGAGCAGTTTTATGTGCTCTTTGGCTGTGGTAGCAGCCTTCATAGACTTCTTTAGAGAATTGCTGATAATTTTTTGTATTTATTAAAATAATTCAGTACATACTAAGATTCATGCCTTTCACAGGATATGCTGATATCCTCTGTTAAGCAGAAAGAAGATGTTGTCTAACTGTATTCAAAATCTTTTATTCAGGATAGTTTAAGACATTCTTAAAAGGCAGTAATCGCTTGTCAGGGGGTGGCTGAAGTTTGAATACAAAATTCAAACTCTGAATAAGAAAATACAAAAATTCGATGTAAGTCCAAAATGACAAGGTGAGATTCAGATGAGAAATTTTCCCAGTCCTGGTTGGTGTGAAGGGCTGGATCAGCTTCTCATAGAAAAAGGTGCTAGGTATATAATTGACTTGGGTTTACATGTTTGACTAGAAGTTTTTCTTTGACTCATTTTTGTGAGAAACATTGGGAAATATAATGGGTAATCATCCTTAACCCTTGCCTCATTTCATTAATCCTTCTTAAACATTCTGGTGTCTAAGAAATTGTATTTTAAAATGCAAAGAGCTGAAGCAGTGGCTTTCTTTTATAGTTAGTTCAGGACACACTTAACAGTTCTCTGGTAGTAGATAAGGTAAATGGAGAATCTTACAATGTTAGATCTGGGGGCACTCAAAACTAGTGTGAATCAATTTAAAATAGATAAAATAGTCCCTGTGCAATGGGTAGTGAACTTCTGGAACTTGTTGCTGCAGAAAGATGTGAAGGCAGACAGTATAAGCAGGGTCAGAAATGGCTTAGAAAAGTTCATGGACAGCAGGTCCTTGAGTGGATGCTAGAAGGACTAAGCAGATACGTACTCTTTAAAATCCTTAGTACAATGATTCTGGGTACTGTAAAAGTACAAGGGGAATTGTTTGCAGAAAGTGGGGTAGGTCCTATATTTCTCCTAACCACAACTGTCTTTTGCCATTGTGAGAAATGAATATTAGGCTGGATGAACCACTGTTCTGATGCAGTAGGGCATTTCTTTTATGTATTTATAATGTTTCATTATAGTAATTCAGAATTTCTTCTGGAAGATTGAAAAAAAAGTGGTAAAATAAACGTTGTGTGAATAATCAAAGACATTTGAAATACATTTCATCAGTTAAAAATAATATTCACATCATTGCTGTGCTCCAAATTGCACCCCCATTCATTACTTTTACAATACTGTTTAATTTTTCAAATGGGCAGTCATATTGAAGAAAGGCATCAGATTAGGTAATTTATAACATAATTCCCTTAGTTGTCTATTGTTTGCAGTTTGTTCTTTTTTTCTCCTTTTGTTCTGTGCTGTTCATTGTGACACTGATCATTTTCTTGTCAGTGGCTTATATATTTTTTATGTATGAAATAGAAACACTATGAGTAAACAATAGAAAATGTACAATTCCTGTAAAATTGACTGCAGAAGTAAAAGTAAGATTCTGTTCCCACTGTAGACAGCTTTGTCCTTGATTTCTTTGGAAAAGAAAGATTGGACTCTATTATTAAAGTACAGCGTGGACAAGCGCTCCAGGCACAGTCAGAGCAGTTAATTAAGTATTGGTTGTACTTGAGTCAGTATAATGTATTTTTATCATTTCTCATCCAGTTTGGTATCTTTTTTAATACTTATGTTGTTTTTATATTTATTGCTTCTAAGCTTTGTGTGTTGTTTTCATGAAGCTATTTCTATAGACAGATTGCTGGCAGGAATAGGAATATTTATCCCAATATGGCATTTTTCTTGACTAGCTTATCAAAAGCTTGTTTACCTTTATGACTTTTCCCAAGGCTTGACTTGCAATGGTAAGACGTGATCCACATTCAGACTTTAAGGAGCTGGTAATAAACATCCATCCTAAACTTCTCTCCAGGAATCGGGGAGAACACACCAAGAAGAGGCATATCTTCCTCACTTAAAAAACATGATATCAAATGCTTAATAAATAGAACTTTATTCTAGGGGGAAAAGAAAAAAGAGAGCTGACAAATAAAGGAGATGATATGCAATAACCAATGACTCCTTTCCTAAACTATTTACAGGTATCTCTGATTTCTTGGGAGGACAACTGCTACGCTAGCTGACTGTTCTCTGCCTTCTGCAGTAGCACTTCACTCACAGGCTGGGGTTATCAAATTGCACAGCTCAGTCAATTGTGCGGGTAGAAAGACCTTATCCACTATCCTTGTAGTCTGTGCTGCTCTGCAGCTGCTGTTGTTTCTGCTCCTAAGCAAGAATACAGCTAACAGAGACACATGTGGCTCCAGCTTCTTATAGGTGAATTCTTGGCTAGCTTCTCTTTACTTTTTTTTTAGTCCATGATGCCTCATAGCTTCAGACCAGGGTGGCCTGATTTTACACCTTAGCAAAAAAAAAAAAAAAAAAAGTTTTGCAGTTTTTGGGGGCAGCTCCACCTTTAACGGAAATGATGGAAAAATACGTAAATGTGATATGTCTTCATGTCTGATTTTTATCTGCTGGGTGTAAACAGTGTGCCCCTGATGCAAATACAATGTTATACAGCTTTGCTTTGGTTGTGGTCTTCAAAGCAGCAGCTGCAGCTATAGCTTCCCCTCCCTTCCTGCAGCTTATTTTTCTTTACCAGTCACCATTTTTTTTATCAAACGTTTAGAAGCTTCATCACCTTGTCTATCAAGTTTTGTTCAAACAGACCTTAAGTTTAAAAGCTGTTTGGAGGAGACCAACTGTCAAGTGAGCAGGTTGACAATGTAGTTGTCTTGTTGCTTGGGAGGCCTCAAGAACTAATACAGGGAATAAAAACAGTGTCAGTATTCCCTTTCTTGTCCTCATTGTCTTTGGCTGCAAATTGCTTTCTAGAAAACAAACCCAGCCTAATTGTAAGTTGATGACCTTAAGGATATGTTGCAAGACTGACCTGTTTGCTGAGGGGCTTGAGAGGCTGGGGAAAAAGTGGGGTTAAGAATTTGATGTTAAGAATGGGGTCAGAGGAAGTCCCAAGCGATTTGAGTTTTTCAGGGCTTTTGGCATTATAATATTCTTAAAATTTAAGCTTTAACTCATGCTTATCAGTTGTACTAGGTTAACATGAGGGAAGTATTAGTAGCTGTGTTGTATAGTATTTACTATTATATCTAGTGGGATGTCTTTAAAATCTACCTTTGAAATCAAAATAATATATATGTATATTCTGAATACAGCTGCTTAACATGTATAGTCTCAGAGATGCAGAAGAAAGTGTTTAACCATGAAGTGTGTACAATGGGCAGGTTCTGAAGTCAGACAAATAGAATTTATAATTAGCTTATTTTATAAAAACCTTGATTTTTAAACCCATCTTGAGAACTTTGATGTCTGGGCCTTGCTTTTTTAAATCTTTTTGATTGGCCAAGGATGAGTGTAGGAGAAGGGTAGCCGAAAAATCTAAACAAATGCATAGCCAATGTATGCATAAATAAGGCAGCATATCTTATTCTGTACCCTTTGAATGTTACTGCCCCTTTTTTTTGCATTCATGGTGACTCATCTATATGCAGAGATAAAGGCTTGATAATATCTGGTAAAAACGTCAACAATCCTGGAGGTCACTGACCATTGGTTGTCTGTGCCTGAATAAAGACATTGTCCATGTGAAACTGGAATGTTTGCTCAAATAAACATCAGACCAGATTTTAGCTGGACGTTGCCCAGATAGCAAGTTAATAATGGATGATATGATATCATAACATCAATAAGTGTTGAAAATCTGTGAAATGAAATTGAAAAGTGAGTTGGAATTGTCTGCCAAAACCCACGTATTTCTCTTCTCCAGTGACTAGATGGAGGGCTTCTGTGTGTTACTGGCCTGTTCCCTGCTGGGCAAGGAGAAGCAGTGCTTAACAGTTCCCAGTCCTGGGAGGAGAAAAGGGCATTTGGGGTGTGACTGCCAGCTGTTGTGCTCAGTTTAGCTAGAAGGTGAGAGACCAGGCCAGAAGATGGAGGGGTTCGGCACTATCTGGACATGTTTTTTAGAGTATTTGGTGCAGTCCTGTCTGATCATGCTGTCACATAGAGTAAATGTGCGGAGACCAGATGCATTGCATCTTGTGCCCTTATCTGTCCATGCGGGCATGTTGGAGAAGAAAGCCGTAGTGCTGGCCCACTCAGATTCGCATAAATCTGCTGAATCAGCAGCAGGATTTGAAGTAGTGATGACTAAACGTTATCAGCTGTTAACCATATCAATGCCATCTGGGAATGCA